AACCTTCCTAATGCAAAATATCTCTTTATCTTGTCATCGATGCAAACCTCTCATGAATGTTTTTTTGTAACTTTTGAAGATGTCTAATTTTCTTAAAGTTATGTGAAAGAATAGGGTAACAGCAATTTAGAAATTTATAGCAGCAATTCACCAGTTTATAACAGCAATTCACGAGTTTATAACAACAATAGTAAGGTTTGTAACAATAATATTAAAGTTTGTAACATCAATTCACCAGTTTGTAACAGCAATTTTATGTCAAATGTTACCCTATTCTTTCATATAACTTTAAGAAAATAAAGATTGTGAAGGTTAGAGTAGTGAACGAAAATCCCAATGATGTTTCTTACATGATAAAGAGAGATTTTGCATTAGGAAGGTTATTGTTTGATAATCCAGGAAGCAGAAGACCAACTCAATGAGTGGCAAAGGGCAAAGAAAAGGTCCCTGCTGCTAAGGCCAGGAAGCAGAAGACCAACTCAATGAGTGGCAAAGGGCAAAGAAATGGTGCCTGCTGCTAAGGCCATGAAAATTCAACCAAAACTTTATAACAATCTATTATCAGTTTATAACAGTTCATTACTAGTTTGTAATGATATATATATATTTTATAACAATATGTATTTAGTTAATCACAACATGTTAATAGTTAATAAGAACTTTATTGAACTATAATACAAAGAGAATAAGTTTGGAACAATGTTTACCGAGGGAGTTGTGCTGAAGAAAAATCTCTCTTTCTTTTCCTTTGAATGAGGGTTTTTTTTTCTGTTTGCTTCATTGAGAATGTGTGCCCAAGTATTAATCATATTGTCTAAAATATGAGTGCCCTCCTTCAATGATAAAAATTCTAATCTGGTCATATAGTTCAAGCCATCATCAAATAACTCTTCCCTTCATATTCATCAACGTAAAGTAACATTAGTACGTTGTACACAAATATAAGGCTAGAATTAAAGTTTAATTGTAAAGTTTGGAACACTTACGTTTTTTCTTCAAGCAACAAAGTATAATCAACAACTCTCCTTAATTCAACATCTGATAATGGTTTTTCATTCTGAACCATAAATGGAGATCTTTGGTTCAGTGGAAGGCTTTGGACTACTCTTCTCGATCTCTTACATTGATTTACTGTTCTCGATCCCTTACGTTTAACTTTCTTTTGTTTCATACTGTAAAAAATCATTAGAACATTAAAGTTTATAACATTATTAAATTTATAACAACAATTCAAAAGGTTAATTTTCCGACAATTCAAAAGTTTATAACAACATACCCTTCATCCACCTGTAGATGCTGCTCAGAAGGGGTATCATAAGCAATGGTCAGTGGGGTATCATGAGCACTGGATACAACAGAAGGGGTATCATGAGCACTGGATGAGACAATCTCAGTGGTGGATAAGTTTAATTTTTCTTTTCCTGCAAGATAAAAATCCAGCGGTGGTAAATAACTTGGCTTTCACACAAAACAACCACATTTCCAACAGAGTTTGTAACAGCTCAGAAATTTATAACAGCAATTCACCAGCAGATACAACAGGCATTCTCGGTGGGGAATCATGAGGAGGTTGTCCTGCAAGATAAAAATCCAGCGGTGGTAAATAACTTGGCTTTCACACAAAACAACCACATTTCCAACAGAGTTTGTAACAGCTCAGAAATTTATAACAGCAATTCACCAGGTTCAGGAGGAGATTGTCCAGGTTCAGGAGGAGATACAACAGGTTCAGGAGGAGATTTTCCAGGAGATACAACAAGAGAAGATTGTCCAGGACCAGACATTCTCGATGGGGAATCATGAGGAGATTTTCCTGCAAGATAAAAATCCAGCGGTGGTAAATAACTTGGCTTTCACACAAAACAACCACATTTCCATCAGAGTTTGTAACAGCTCAGAAATTTATAACAGCAATTCACCAGGAGATACAACAAGAGAAGATTGTCCAGGTTCTTGTGTTTGTGCCCAAACTTTATAAATCTCAGTGATGTTTGAAGCACTTTTTTCAAAGAACACCTCTTTGGAAGGGGCAGGCCCTTCAGCCTCTTGGGCAGCTGCCCAAACTTTATAAATCTCATCGACATTTGAAGCAAATTTTTCAAAGAACTCCTTCTTCTTAGGGGCAGACTTTTCAGCCTCTTGGGAAGGCCTAGCCTCGTGGGCAGTCCCAGCCTCTTGGGCAGGCCGAGCCTTTTGGGCAGGCTGATCTTGTTCCAACTTCAATCTGAGCATGACAACACCATTTCCATACCCCTTTTTCTGCTCAATATTTATCCTTGATTTAACCAAATCCTGGTTCCATACTAATATAAGAGGGAATTGTCTTGGGGATGGAAAATTCCCTCTTTTCATTCTATCAAAATAGTTAATCTGGTATAAAAGCATAAAAAAAAAAGTTTATTAAATTTTTGTACATCATAAAGAAACTTTGTAACAGTTAGTTATTCTTACCATGAGAAAGGGCAGTGGACTTGTGAAGAATGTTGATCCATCCTTCCACTCTTTAACTGAGACTAACAGTTGTTGGTGAGTAAAAGAAGACCAGTCATAAGAGTTTATTTTTGAAATATCTTTACAACAATGTAAAAATTTAAAGTAAACTGACTGATTGTTTGTTGACCTAATACAGCAATTTACAGCAGCTACGACAAAATTTAATAAAAAATCATCAGAAACTTCAGCCTCTCTTGTTTGGTCTTGTATTCTTTTTACTAGACTGGCATTTGAAGGACTTCCAGACGTTAATCCGAATTGGGCTCTCCATTTCTGAATACACACAGTATAACACAGCACAAAACTTAAAGTGTATAACAACAAATTACAGTTTATAACAATAAAATAAAAGTTTATAACAATAATACTAAAGTTTATAACATTAGTAGTATTCAGTCCTCAATACCTGAAAGAAAGCTTGATTTTCTGCATCTGCAGCTTTGGAGACATCAATATTAGCTCCTCTGGCGGGAACTCCATAGACCAGATGTACATCCTTAGGCCTAAACTTTATCTTCTCCTTGGAAGGAAATACTAATGATTTTTTAGCAACGTCAAAGATCTTTACCAATTCAGCACAGAAAAGTCCCCTGGATGTCCAGCCAATATCCAGGTCTAAGAACCCTCCGAAACCAATATTTCTTATGGCTTCCTTGTGATTGTCAGACATACCCTTTTTAAGCATATTGATGAATGCTTTTGGAGGAATTCTTTGTATTAGATGTCTGTCTTTTGCTTCAACATTACTAGAGTTTGTAACAAAATCAGTACAGTTTGTAATTGTAACAACAATATTAAAGTTTGTAACAATAATATTAAAGTTATAACAACCCCTCTTCCTGAAATTTCCTCAAATCCCTAGATCCAATGGACTAGAGCAGGAGTACACTCCTGTTCCGAGTACACTCCTGCTATCCATTGGATATAGGGATTATGAAGTAAGAGATTATGTATGCAAGATAATTTAATTGAGCCAAGACATAAGGGCATTGTAATTTAAAAAATGAAATATGAAAAATAAAAAAACAAAAAAAAAAAAAACCATCAACCTTAATCAAATATAAGCTATAATAACATTATGAACAATAAAATGCACAACAGACATTTACACCTCCAATATAACAATATTACAGTTTATAATAACTACACATGAGTTTATAAGCGTTTATAATAACAATACAAAAGTTTGTAAGCATAACGATTATGTTTATAACAATGAGTTTATAAAATAGTTTATAACATTAAAAATAACAATGTGTTTGTTGTGGTTTGCTTTGGTATTCAAAATAGTTTATAACATTAAAAATAACATTCATCATATATGTTTTAATAACTCCATAGTTTTATGTATGCAAGACAATTTAAAAAATGAAATATGAAAAATAAAAAAAAAACAAAAAAAAAAAACCATCAAACATAAGCAATAATAACATTATGAACAATAAAATGCACAACAGACATTTACACCTCCAATATAACATATCAACAACATTAAAAATAACAATGGCAGTTACTAAAGGTTCAGGTAATGTATAATACCTAGTAGTCCTTTCTTCTGCTTTATTCTCTATTCTTCTCCTGCGTCGTAAGAATGTTGGATATTTACAGTTATAAAAATAGGAACTTTACAGTTATAAAAAATTCTATAAAAATCGGAACTTTACAGTTATAAAAATTACAGCAATGCTTACTTGAGCGTTTCGATTTCCTCCTTTGATGGTTTTGCAGATTTTTTCCCATTTGCTTGTTTCTGAATTTCGCTTGAGAATTCCTGAGAGAAGGCGAGGAGAGGGTTCAGTTTTTTTGAGAGAAGGCGAGGAGAGGGTTTTGTTATAAAGTCGGTTTATTTTTTTGGTAGGAATATAAAGTCAGTTTATTAGGAGTGGGAGTGATGGGAAGTTTAAATTTTAAAACGGAAGTTATAAAGTCGGTTTATTTTTGTTTTGGTAAATAGATATTGTTTTTTGGGTAAATAGATATTGTTTTTTCTTCTTAGGACCCTAACTTAAGTTTATTACTAAGGCTCTGTTTGGTAGGGCGTAAAACATTTTCACTGAAAAGTGTTTTCCCATTTTACATTGTTTGGTTTAGTGTAAAACATTTTCCACCTTATTGAAAACATTTTCCCCCCAATTTAGAAGGAAAACATTTTCCATCACAAGTGGAGGGAAAACATTTTCCATCACAAGTGGAGGGAAAACATTTTCCCTCACAATTGAATTTTCAGTTCAACCAAACAATGGAAAATGCTTAAAATGAAAAATCATTTTCCATTCAACCAAACAACGGAAAACATTTTTTGAAAATGAATTTTCCATTGTAAAATGATTTTCATGGAAAACCATTTCACATTGAAAATATTTTACACCCTACCAAACGGACCCTAAATTGAAAATCTGTGTATAATGTTATGAATCAGAGTTTTGATCGAATCTAATCACAACGAAAGGGATACCGTTTCGTCTTTTATAGATAAAACTTGTTACAAATTCAAGAAGGGTAATAACTTGTTACAAAATTACTTATTGTTAAAAACTGGATCTCAAGAAGGGTAAGAAAGCAACTGAAATCATCGTAACTCAACTACATGAACTACATGTGTGGTGACATAAGTAGTTGAGTCGCATTCGGGTCCGTATTCGGGATCCCATTATCAATGGCAGACAAACGTAGTTGATTTTTGAGGATTCAAACCTTATCCTTACTGGTGGCTTGTAGAAACATTAAAACCGGCAACATTTGCTTTCTCATTAGTAGATTATCATAGACATAGCTTGCCCTCAAAATATCTAAATCAGAACATTCTTCACTTGGAACTATTAAAAGTAGTTCGTCTGCAACTTTCTTCATGAGTCCACTCGACTCTTCAGTTCTATTCTGTTCCACATCATAACTCAATCTTTTGGAACTACCCTCATCCACATCATAATTCTTTCTTTTGGAACCATGAGTTTTCCAAGTAACCGATGTACCGGAAGTGGGTTGTACAGGAGGTACATATTCTACAGGAGCCCATACACCCGGAAAAAACGGGATTTTGCAGGTACATTGCATATGCAACCGCCAGCCATAAATAATTGAGGGTCGTGTAAACTTATATATCAATTTGAAGGTTGTAATGATCAACTTACCTGAGAGGGTTCTACACAGCTGCACCATTTCAAGACTTTTCCCATTCCAATCAACTCTGCTTTAGTGCGCTTAGCAATACGTAAGCCTTTGCTGTTAATTTCCTTGTTGTAATTGTGACTAAAAATTCGCCATAATTCTAAGTCATCCCAGGAATACTTTTGAGAAATAATTAGAGGGAAGACATATTTATTTATCACATATAAATAATGTTCCTTCTCTTCTTCAATCATCTGTCAATAAAAATCCAAGAGAACAAGCTTATCACAAAGCTCAAAGAACTTATCCTCAACATATAAACATTACTAAAAAAAAAAAATTCTTTCAACATATTACCGTAATAACACTGGATGAGACACTCTCAGTGGTGGATTAGTTTAATTTTTCTTTTCCTGCAAGATAAAAATCCAGCGGTGGTAAATAACTTGGCTTTCACACAAAACAACCACATTTCCATCAAAAGTCAACTAACACTATAAATACGATACCTAAACCTACTGCACACACAATATCACAACAACAATAGTACGACGACAACAACTGCACAAAACGACCACCAACAACAGTAGCAGCAGCAAACGCAACCAAGAGAACAAGTTTATAACAACAATTCAAGTTTGTAACAACAAGTTATTAAAGTTATTAAAGTTTAACAACAATATTAAATTTGTAACAACAATATCAAAGTTTGTAACAGTAACTCATAAATTTATAACAGCAATTCACAAGTTTGTAACAACAATAGTACAACGACAACAACTGCCCAAAACGACCACTAACAACAGTAGCAGCAGCAGACGCAACCCACAACAGCAGTAGCACTACTGCAGCACCAACAACACCAACTATCATCACAGCGCCTCCCACTTCTGCAACAACCACATCCAAATCGTCCCTAACAACAAACAACTACTACACTTCACACAAAAGTCACAAAACAACCACATTTCCATCAAAAGTCAAATATGATTCTTAAATCTTCACATTTAACTCAAAACATATTGCAAATTTCATTCACATTTCTGAAATAGAGTCAATTTCATCCCAAAACAAACTTCTACTTTATTGTTATAAACTTCTGTCTCATTGTTATAAACTTCTGTATTGTGTCTTAAAATGAACAAATATCATCAATAAATGAACAAATATCATCAGAATCAACAATCAAAAGTCCAATTACGCACCGCAATTAAGCAAAAACCTTAAAAGAAAACCGTCTAGGAATTTCTTTGCAACTGCTCACTATTCGAATTTCATAAACACTTCGAATTACAGCAACACGATGGAAAAAATATCATCGATTTACGAATGTCAAGCACTCAGCCAAAATTAAACTTACCCCCAAAATTAAACTTACCCAGAAAATTAAACTTACCCTAAACTTACCCCCAAAATTAAAATTACCCAGAAAATTAAACAAACGTTACGAAAGTCAAGCACTCAAAAAAATTAAACTTACCCAGAAAATTAAACAAACAAAGAAAATTAACAAACACACCTTTGAAGATAGTTAACGACTTTGAGGAAGTTTGACTACTCAATCCGTTTCGCGTCCTGACAAAAATTAACAAAACAAAATTAACAAAAAAATTTCAAAATTGAAGAACTTTAAAGAAAAAAATTACGTACTCTTTTAATTCTGGACTTTGGTTTTGAGCTTTGTGAGACATTTGAGAGGGAATGAATGCCAAATGCCCAAAAGTAATGGTTGTTAGTTGTTACTGTTGTTTTCAGATAGTAAATGCATGTCTCGTCAAACTATTAGTAAGCTTGCTTTTCTGGGTTCAAAATTCATCAGTCCAAAGTTTTTAGCTTAAAATTTAACAAAATTTGGTATTTACGTATCAAACATATCACTTAATTTAAATGGTGAATCTGAAATGGTAGTTAATGATGATAAGCTTTAAATGTTTTTTCATGATTAGTGGAAAAATGGTACTATTGTGGGTACTCATCTGGAGCCCCAAAGATTTAGAGAATATAAGAGATTAAGAGATAAGAAGAAGAGATTGTGATTTTGTGATTTGGGAATGAAATGGAGGTGGGTATTTATAGAATTTTTGGGGAGCTAATTGCCCAAGGTGGGTTACAAGAAAGGCCAAAATTATGTATTTTCTGGTGGTTGAAGAGTGAGTGCGCTGATGAGCATATAAAGCTGCATTTTGGTGTAGCAACGTCGATTGCACTTTCATTTCGGATAGTTAATGCATGTCTCGTCATGTCTACCACCTAATGCCACAAGAAATACGTATATCAAAAGAATGTAAATATAGATAGGTTCGTTTTGGTACTAGTGTTTGTAGCCTTGTTGATTTCAAGCATACAAATGGTTGCACGACTTGCAATAGTGTCTACGACGGTTTCATTAGCAGGTCTAGCACTAATTGCCTTGGCACTTACATGGCAGCCTTGGAAAAAGGAGGGGTAGACAAAGCTAGTACGAGTATTTCTTATTACAAGTAACTTTGTTGAATATAAAATCTAAAAATTGGTGTAAAGTAGAACCTTCATATACAATGCAAAGTATATTCTGATTAATACTCCATAATCAACACAAGTAATTCTGATTTTTTTTTTTTTTTTAAACTTTGAAGTATGGGAATTCCAATTTTTTGTATAGAAAAAATATTTAAAAAGTTTTTTTGAAAAAAAAAGTCTAATACTACTACTTCCTCCGTTTTTTATAGTTGCAACTAGACTTGTCAATTTTCGGCCCGACTCGCAAATCCGACCCGAACCTGACCCATTTTGTGGGTATTGTACCTAGGTGCCTCTGACCATTCATTAAGTGTCGTCCTCCTTGCTGAAAGGGACGGCAAGTAGCTCCCGGTCTACTTTGTGTCCCATGTTTTGAGAAATGCTGAGCTCCGGTACTCAACAATAGAGAAATTTGGCTTAGCACTCTACATCGCATCTAAGAAGTTAAGGCCTTATTTCCTGTCGCATCCCATTGTTGTCTACACTGATCAGCCACTGAAAAAACATATGTCAAGGCAGGAGGCCACTAGCCGAATGGCAAATTGGGCGACTGAGTTGAGTGGATGTGCCATATCTTTTAAGCCCAGAAAGCTAATTAAGGGGCAAGCATTCGTAGATTTTTTGGTTGTGGTGCCGGAAAAATAATCAGGCGGATGTAGGGGTGTACAAAAATTGGACCGGACCTGAAACCGGACCTGAACCGACCTGAACCGGACCGGACTTGACCCGGACTCGTTGATTCAGGTCCGGTCCCGGTCCTTGAAAACCCAGGTTTCCGGTCCCGGTCCGGACCCGGTCTAAACCCGGGGTTTTCAGGTCCGGACCTGAAACCCGGGAAAATTGTATTTTTATAAAAAAAAAAAAAATTCAAAAATCAACGCTGACTCTTCACTTTTCTCTTTCATTTCTAAGTTCTAACCCTAAGTGCTAACTCCCTGTCTCCCACTCTCCCTCACTCTCAACTTCTCAGAATCTCAAGTCTCACTGAGTCACTATCTCTAGGTAACTCTTCCCCTCACAATTCATGGAAGCAAACGACAATCAAAACGGTGATGAAGCACTGTTAAAATTTGAGCATTTGATTCTCTCAAAGTCCATTTGATTCTCTCAAAGTCCATTTCATCTTTCCCTCGCGGTATTTGTTCGCTATCGGTCTCTCGCCAGTATTTAGCCTTGGACGAAATTTACCGCCCACTTGGGGCTGCATTCCCAAACAACCCGACTCGGCGACAGCGCCTCGTGGTGCGACAAGGTCCGGGCACGACGGGGAATTTACCGTCCACTTGGGCCAAGTCTGCCGCAGAGGACGCTTCTCCAGACTACAATTCGGACGACGCGGCTGTTCCCGGTTCGCTCGCCGTTACTAGGGGAATCCTTGTAAGGGGAATCCTTGTAAGTTTCTTTTCCTCCACTTATTTGATATGCTCGTCCCTTCAGGAATGAAACTCAGTTGACCGATAGCGAGTAGCCTTGCCTGAACTGGGGTCGCAACGGTTTTGCCGAAGATTATCCTTCCCACGTCGTAAAATTATTAACTAAATTTATCTCTCTAATTTAATTAATTAATTAAATTTAGGTCAATCTTAGGTCAATGATTAAAGAAAAAGGCTTTGAGAAAGCTCAGAAGCCCCTTTGAGATTTTAAGGAACTAAGCCCCTTTGAGATTTATAGTTTTTACATTACCTTGTATAATCTATCTTGTATATAATCTAATCTTAAATACTCTTGTTGATTATCAATCGACGAAGAAGGGAAGTGGACGTGGAGAAAACAAGAACATTCTATGATTGATAATTGATAATCTGCAGTTGAATTTGTTGAATTTGGAGGTTTGGTATTGGCAGGGATTTTTGATTTGGTCAGTTAGTGTTGATTGGTATGGGATTTTTGGTTTGGTCAGTTTGAATGATTTTGTTCCTCTCTTTCTAGCTACGCCCAGCACAAAAACGAATACGAAAACGAAGACGAAGTGCTTTAACCGGTGACCTTTTCAAAGTAAGTTTGGAATAATACCTAAATGAGTTCATATTTTAATAAATGAGTCCATCTATTTGAAAAGTGATATTTTTCTGGTGTAGATGGCTTGGGATTCTGCTTGGGACGAAGCCTTGGTGAGTCTCCTCGATGGAATATGTACAGATTCGGCTGCTTTAGGAAGTAACAAAAGTCTGTGGACTGACGAATTCTGGATAAGATTAGCCTTAAGGTTTGGTGGAAAGATTGGTAATGACCAAATCACGTCTGGGCAGTGCCAAGAGCGGGGTATAGCGCTCCAAAAATTTATCCGTAAACATGAGGTGAATCTCTTCGGTTTAGAAATGCTGAGCATGCTGCAGTTATTGTGTTTGTAATTTGCTTTACCATTTTGCTTACCATGCATAATTTGTATAATTCAGTAGAAGCTGTTGTTATTGTAGCCCTCAGGCGATCTGGATCCTGATTCGTATTCTGTCAAGCTGAACAATGCAACATGCTCAGCATTTCTGAATAAGTTTCAAGCCATAATGTTAAGTGTTGGTTTTAAGCCACAAACTGAGGCCTATTGTGTGACATTGTAGAAGTTAGGAGGTTGATCATAACCCCAATTTGGCCTATTGTATTCCACCTGATGTCGAACTTTCCAATCGAGTTCTTAAGCATTACAAAGATGAAAAGACGAGATTAGGGGCACGCTGCAAGATCCATAACACAAGATACCGCCATGAAAAGTTTAAGCATTTGATTGAACACTGGTAGCCACTTACAATCAAATGGTTCAAGTGTGGAAACAAGGGCAGTTGATCGTGCTCAGTTCCTCCAAGAGTAGCCTTAAAGTTGATGAGATGCAAAACAAAGGTAGAAATATCATCAGATATTGAAAGAAAAACAGTGAAAAATTCTAAGTAAGAAGTAGTAATATTAGCTCATACCTCTATTGTACCAACTTGTAATTGTAAAGTCATCAAGCTAGAAACTTGTTGAAGGATTTTAAACAATTGTACACAGAAGTAATCACGGTGTCGGATGATAAGTCTAGCTTCAGCTAGTGAGGGCATGTTGCCAAACTTCTAGTCTGATAAAAAACTTTCGATACAAAGATATTCAAGACTTGGAGCACCTACAATTGTAACTTCAGACTACAAGTGTGGAAAAAATTGTAACTTCATTTCCTCTGGAATATGTATCGAGATTTAATCGCTTTAGAGATGAAGAATGAATACATATATTTTGCAATCCTCTGCAATGCTGAATAATTAATTCTTCAAGTCGAGGCAACCTCATCAAGATATCATTCAAAGAAAAATCATCTGAAAAATTAATGTGTGTGAAGTGTAGAAAGTTAACAGATTTGGTAGATGAATTGGATTTCGAAGAGGGGAATCGAAACCCGTGAACTTTAACACCATAAGTTTCTCATTCGAAAAAGTCTTTGATGGTAGTATTCCCTCATCTAATAATTGAAGATCTATCTCAACAATATCCCGTCGCATTATATTCCTAATCCATGAATGATAATGGAGGGCATTGAAGCAATTAAGCTGAAACAGCCTTAGTGATTGTGTATCATTACAGATCAAGACTCTATTTACAGTTTAGATACGTAGTATTTAGATTGTCAATTGAAGACCTTTGTAAAAGAGAGGGTTATATTCCCAATTTCCTTTAGTCCATGTAATTCTCGATTTCTCTATTACAATTTACAAGTGTAGTTTATTGGTCGAGGGAAGTGAAGGGTGAACATTGAAACATTTTCCTAAAATGTAAGCTCTACACTGTACGGAGTACCATGTAATTGAAGGTGTGGAGTTAAGTAACATATAACGGCAAGGGGGAAAGAGAAAGAGACCGCCCGCGCCCTGTTCACTGACGACCAGGAAGAGGAGATATTCGATGCGGAGGCAGCCGATTTGGCTGATGATCAAACGTCCCCATCCACTCCTGTAGATGATGGGAATCGCGATGAGTCGGAGGACGAGCCACGGGATGAGTCACAGCTCCCGTTTTTGGACCCTACTACGCTGTGGTAAGTAAATATCATGATATGGAAGATCAGATACATTTGTTTTATATTACATATTTCGAACTTGTTTAACATTGTTGTTTCCCGTTTGTGATAGGTTCGATGATCCTAAGGTTCAGAGTGCGGTATCCGGTACGATTACTGGATACTACCGAGGCCCTTGGAGGAACTTCTCCGAAGTGCCTCCAGCTACGAAGGAACACTGGTGGAACTTGTTCGGCGTATGATATTTTTGGGTCTTGGTTAATACATGTTTTAGCTATTGTGTTGATTTAGTTTTGTGTATAACTTTTGTATTTTATCATTTGCAGGCACAATACAGATGGGCACCTCAGATGGACGAGCTAGAGAGGATTAAATTCCGGAGGAGGGTAGCCACACGCCTGCGTGACATGTTCCACACCATCACGCACAAGATGAAAGGCGCCAGACCAAGTTGGTTGAGTGCGGAGCTCCACAAGCAGATGATGGAC